TATTATTTTATGTGACTTTTAACAGATCAAGTTTAATTTATGGTTGATGAGTTAAAATAATTAATTTATTTATATTTATACAATAATATGCAGCTATAATAATTAAAACGCTTTTATGCTGAATCCTCTTACTATGACCAAGAGATTAAAAAATTAAATTTCCATTTATATTTTATTATATTTATTTCATTATTTATTTATAAAATAGTTTTATTTGCATTTTTAGTAGGATTCTAGATAAAACAGACTAAAGTACCAAACCCAGCTGGCTGGGTGATTCACCCTCATTGCGATTCCCACGCTTCACATCCCATCATTTATCTCGGCCAAAGATCCTTTTCCGATATCGCGAAATTATTCAGTTATTTATATTTATTGGCCGCGTCATCAATTCTGCAAGTCAATCTCGCCATCTCATCGATTATGCATGTGCGTGGCGACGCTTTCACGGATTGTTTTGTCATGCAAATAGAACGGAGGCGATGGGTATGCGTACGTCCAGCCAGGTACTGCAAAATGACTGTACGTAATTGAATGCGTTATGCATACTAACGAGCACTTGCTTTATCTATTAAAGCGCCGAGTGGATGTTTTGACGCCCGCGTTCTAGGTCTAGACTGGATGAGACGCACGTTGGAATAAAAGAGGAGCGAGAAGGTCAACGACTGGCCCGCCCATCTGGGGACACATTGAAATTAATAGCCGGACGGGGTTTAAAAAAGAAAGACGGAGCCGTTTGTATAATATTAAATTATTATGGCCGAGCAAATAATGAATGTTTCTCTCTCTTATCATATGGGAATTGAATTCGAAGCCCGCGAGACGACCTTCCGACCTCTCAGCTCACGATTTCCCAACGTATCATTACGTCTGCGGTTCATTGAAAAATAACATCCAAACATCTCATTACAGAGGCGGAATTCCTTCGACGGAACATTATGGAAAGACAGGCTCATTTTTCTCATACAAGTAAAAATCACCGCTCTTAATTTGGAAAAAGGAAAACAATTTAATTGGGCGAGTTCCTTTTCAAGATGCATTTCACAGGGCGGCTCGAAATTTTGATAAGCGGCGTAAAACGCCTCCATAAACTCTGCTTTTAATCAAGCTGAATTTTCTCAAAAAGCCATTAGCCCCGTGCTTGTTTAATCTCCATCGGCGGGCGGCAATATTTTGATTAAGCAAATGCTCTCTCTCAGTAGCAAGAGAGCGAGGAGACTTATTAATAAAAGCGCTGATGCTGCGGCTAATTGAATTAAAGTGGCCTTCCTCCTCCCCCATATCGTGTATAAATTTATACGGCACACTGTGGCATCAAAAGATGCAGCTGCTGCCGACTCTTCTGACCCACTTTCAATTAAAAAAGCACACAGAGCCATTCGGACTAATGGCCACACTCTTTTTACACTGCCCTGCAAAGTGCATCCAGTCTGTTTATTAGCGACTGCGGAGGGAGATGCACACACACCGCCATTAGCACCAGGCCGACAAATGTCCTTGCTTGTGTGATGCTTTTTTTCTCGCGCAAAACGGCCTCGTTAACTGTAATGGTCTCGGTCAGAATGCGCCGTGCAATTGCCACGATTTTGTAACTCGGTGCGGCGTGTTGTTGTAAAAATCCCGCCGCGGTTGCACTGCTTGTACCCAATTTAAAATTCCAAAGGTTTGCAATTTGGTTTAATTGAAACTACTCAATTTGTTTGCGAAATCAAATTTTTCTCAGATTGTGCTTTGATTCTAAGAATTTGAAAACTATTGATTAAAAAAAAAAAGAATTTTTAATAGAGATTAAACACAAATAGTAATATAGTTTTTTTTCTTTCTATTTCTTATTTACTTTTTAATTCAAAAACATTTTCATATGTTTAGTTTTTTCTGCACCATCATTCATTATTTTGCTTTGAACCATTTCCTTATTTATTTTTATTAATGAGGAAAAACAGTATAAAAAAAATGAATATTTTCCCTCTTCAAAGGCCATAATGTTCAAAGTGAGCTTATGCCAATTACACAGAAAATTCTCAGCTCTTACTAATACTCACTTCATTTTTTTCATCCCTCACTAGACTTATGTAAAAGTCTTACGAGTTGCACTACTGCAAACGAGCACTTAAGCCGCATCTTGGTGCTGCATTGCCGCAATTGGCACAGATAAAATTACAATTCTCTTTCACCGTGGGTTTTCCTATTCATTCTCGGCTTCCTCTCTTTTCTCTGCGGCCATGCAAGTTGCCTTCTCTTTCATCCTCGTCTTCTTCATCAAACAGTATAAGTAACGAAGCCCTCGTCTCTATCTTTCGAGAAAGAAAAATGTCCGCCATAAGATGAGTATAAATTGCAGCACCTTCGCGTCGGGCCTCATTAGAAGTCGATTGTTCCGGGGCTTTTCTCGTCGTCCTGCCGCGTGTCATACGCCGAGTGTAATTACACAAGAGGATTAATGACCTAACTGAAGAGCCTCTCTCCTATCGTGAATGCTTCTTAGGCCGCAATTTCCAATAGCTAATTAAATTGTTGTGAAATTAATTAAAACGCCAAACGGAAGCCTCCAGACCAAAACTCAAAATTGGGTTTCGTTACGATCTGGCCTGGATATTGATCTCTGCTGGTTGAAGAGTTTTACTGCCGCAATTTATAGATAGGTGCAAATCCGAATGAGTTACGGCCTCTTGGCACTGCTTTTGAATTCGAATCTCTCATAAAAGAAGCCGTCGAACGCTTCTGATTTGACCTGCAAATCGACCATATGATTTATTCATGCGACGAGATGCAGACACTTGAAACGTTTCTCTTGAATTCTGGAGTGATTCCAGGGAAAAGTCAATTTTTATTCCAAGTGTCCTAATTATACGGATATTCTGTTGGCAGCACTGAAGGGCACTTGAGTAAAAAATGATTGAATTCCTAATATAATCGAAGATTTCTTTAATTCTTCTATTGTTTAGAGCATCAATAATATAAGTATTCATATTTCTGAGTGTTCCGGTCTCCTGATTTACTGAAGAGATTATCAAATAACTGAATAAAATTATACATTTGTGATTATTTCATCATTTATATATATATATAAAAATAATGTATTTAGACAGAGTTCTGCTGTGTTTCTAATTTTTCAATTTACTTTTTAAGATTATGAGGCAAAATATTAATTTAAGTGCAATTTTTATAAATAGCTAATTTAATTTATGTGGATAAATTTCCCACACTCTAATAAAATTATTGAGATATTTGAAACGTTTTTTTCCCTCTTACATTAAAATTTAATAGCATATAAAATTACTTCCAAAATTAAAGCTCTCTTTTATCCAGCTTATTTGCAAAGTTTTTCGTGCTTGGGGATACTCATAGAATTTTCAAAAATTCCGCCCACAGGTAAACAAAAAATATGAATCAATATAGAGGCAATGTGCGTCAGCAGATTAATCATGCTTATAGCGTTGTTAGCTTCCCGAGACTAGGAGGCAAAAAACGCGTTTCGGGAACAAGTTTTGCGCAGCGGCGAACCTTGTTTATTCGAATGTGCGAACGGCAAAAAGCCGCGACATGCGCGAACAAATCGAAATGAGCAACAAGCGTGACTTTTCCGAAGCAACGTCAGCTCCGCTCTTTCACTCGCGCATAATATGTTTGCCGTTTTTATTATTCCATTTGGCGCGACGTGAGCAGCAGAGATATTTCGCTGGCAGGAAAAGATTCGTTTTTGCACGGCGAGCACGTTTCGCTTTATTTTTACGCCCAAGACGAGAGCTCGAATTCGCGCACGCACCTGCTGCTGCTGCTCTGGTTATGAGAAAGGGGAAAGAAAATACTCAGCGTGACATCATCTTCGTTCGCACCGGCGGGGCTAAATAATAATAATGCACCCCGCGTGTTGGGCTCATTAAAGTTGCTCGTAATGTCTCTCGGTCTAAGAGCCTCCCGCACGTATAAAAGCTCCCCGAAAACTTTTTTAGGACTCTCCGGCCAAGCGCTGTGCCCGGCAAGACGTAAAATTGTTTCGGAAAATATCTATTCGCGCGCGAAAAGAAGAGAAAGTACGAAAATTATATAGCGTGATGAGCAAACTTTGGCGAGTTATTTTTCTGCAAATTAAGTGCCACTTGGAGCATAAAAGTGACAAATTTTGGTTCAAAATTACTAAACCAATTTCAGAGTTTGCATAAACTTTATTAAACTGTTTAAATATTAAAAAAAAAATGTATGAGCCATTTTCATTGTTGCTTACTTCAATTAGCCTTCAGTGTTAAGCAAGTACAAAAAAAAAGGAAAATTATATTATATTTTGTTTGAAAAAATGTATTTGTTCGTTACTGAATACGTTTTTGCCTGGATTTTCATGAAACAATGTAAAAGTAAAAATATCAAATAAATGTACATTTTTCATAAGCATTTAAGTTCAAAGGTCCAACTTATAGCCTCAAGCCAACTAAACCTTATTTCTGAATTAAATAAGCGAATATCTTCTCTCAAAATATATCAGGTGATTTTGATTTATATCAGACCTTTTGGCAACACTTTTCTAAGTAAGTGAAAAATATTGAATCTTAGGAATAAATTGCTACAAAAATTCTAGCCACGCGATTTTTTTCATTTAAAAAGTTAAAAATTCAATCTTTCACGCATAATAATTTAATTTCCAAAAGAATGATCTGTAATCTGGCCATCTGTTACCACTCATGCCTGTTTTTGTTTGCCTTCGTAATGGCTTTTGAGAGCAAAACGCAGCCACTTTAAGACGAAATGGACGCAATTATTTTGCATCTCTCGTTTTCCTAGCGTTATGACAAAAATTAATTCCACCCACGTGCCCCTCCCCCAACTCATACTTAATATTCCTTTAACTGCTTTCCACACGAATCTCAAGTGTGTATGCGCGAAATTTAGGACGCAAACTTTGGGCAATAACTGGCAAGTTTTCCGCTCTCGGCGAGGCTTAATGGGTCGGCAATAATCTAAACAAAAAGTACCTGGCGCACATGAGTTATCGTTATTATACTTACATTTGCGATTTTTGACGTCCAGCACCGAACTGCCGCTGAATTTATGCTATCTGCAACAGAACAGAGAGAAAGGCAATTTAAATAACGAGCAGGAGAGATTCTTAACTAATGACTATAAGAAATAATGCAGAGAGAGAAAGGGAGGGAGGGAAGGAAGGAAGGTTTCTTAATGCGATTGCAAAATAATCTGCTGGATTATTTAAAGGAAAGGAAAAGGGGGACGTCAATGTGCCGAACCTTTCCTCCAAAGTTAAAAGAGCATAAATTTTTCAACCCCCGTAACAAGGCAAGGCGGAGAAAGCAGAGGATTTCCTCCTTCTTTCTATTTCATTCCACCAAATAAATAATTGCTGCCGAGGAGGCAGGCAGACGTTTAAGGAAATTCGAGAGGCTTTCTTTATGTATTGTTACGCCCTCCTGCAGATGTATCTATCCGTCGAAGGATCGCTTTCAACAAAGGCGGAATAAAATGCACAGAACAGAAAAACCGGATTTGTGTTTTAATTTTCTCCAAAGAGGATTCGGAATATTTGATCGGATTAATTGGAGTTTTTGTGCTTCTTGATGGCATATTAAATTCGTGCTCGTGAGCTAAAAGGAAAGATAAAAGTCAATCAAACTGCTTTAACAAGAGCCCATTGTTTCACCAAATTACAAACTCAAGACATCAATTGGAAAAAAAAAATTACTTCATCTGATCAAGTTTGTTTATACTGTTTTAGTAGAAATATTTTAAGTGGTGATTCAATTATTTCTAAAAATCCAAGTGAGAAATAAAAGATTTTTCATTTTAAAATGATTGAATTTAATTCTTGAATTGTGAACTTTGAGAAAATTACAAATATCTATATGATAGTAAAAAAAGATTAATCCGTCTACGAGTTAAAAAGTTTCCAAATTTTAACTGAAAAGTGTTTGCAAATCAAATTATTTCAATCCCAGTTTTTTTGAAACAAAAGTGATGAATTTAAATTATATTTAAGTCGAGTGACAATGAGCATCCGTTTAATTTCAACATTTTTTTTGTGAGCCAAGGGATAAGGAAAGTATAAATGTACAGAATTTAAGATAAATGAAGTAATTAAATTAATTTGAAATAAAAGTCTTAAATAATCCACAAATTTTCATAAATGAATGTGTTCACAGTATTGTCATTTAAGACATTTAAGATTTCAATCTTTCAAAATAACAATTACAGGGCACTTCGATTTTATTTTTTTTATTTTTGTAAATAACGTATACACACTTATGCACTTAATAAACAAGTAATCTTATTAAAATACGGATAAATTTCTTTTTCAAGATGTTTAATGTTCTACAACATTGCAAATTTAATGTGTAGCATCCTAATTTATAATTTTACGCCATCCCATTTTCGTATCACCATATGAATCTCAAGAGCCGCAGTTAGCTAAAGTGTTTCCATATTCGCAAACTGCGCCAAGAATTAACACCCTTGCTCTTGCGAGCCTGCAAACCGCATGCACGACCCGTCGCTTACTCGGTCGATGCAAAATGCGATTATTAATTGCGCAATAATTAAATTACGCGCCACGCGGTCGCATTACGTATGCATATGAATATTTAATAATTAGCCTGTGAGTGTGTGTGCCGGATTAAGCCGCTGCAGAAAGGTGCAGAAAGAGAGCGCCGACCAACTGGGGCGCAAAATTTTAATTAAAATGGAGCGAAATAAATTCGCACAAATTTAGCTCTTGGGGCTCGACGTTAAAATAAATAAATAGGGAAAAGTCTGGTACGAAAGCTAACGTGCTCTCTGGCGGAATTTTAATTCGATCTAGACGCTCTTTAATATTCAACGCGTTTGTTTATACGAGTTTGGTGTTCAGTCTCTCGTTTTGTTTACGCGACGAATCGCAAAGTTTTACTGCGCATCAATTCCGTCTCGATTTCACTTAAACGAGCAAGGATGAATTCAATAAAATTCAACCTTACTTTGGGAATTGAAAAGTGGTGATTATGACATCATGCCAAATAATGATTGAAAATCTTTTCAAAGTCAAATATTAATTCAATTGTTGAGAAACGCAAAGATTTCAAAATAACGAAAAAGTCGATTGTGGTAGATGAATAATTATAGACTTTGGATAAATTAAAGTTGTTCTGTAATAACAGGAGTGTATAATTATAGTTTATTTAAAATTTCATTATGTATATGCAATTGGTTGCAAAAAAAAATAGAAATAATTTCCATATTTTTCAACAATTACTCATAAAAGTAAATTTCAATGTTTGAAATTGCAGAAACAATTTGACTAAAATTCAAATTTTCGTATAATATCCTTCTTCAAAATTTTGCATTAGAATTAGGCGAAATTAATCTCGACCCTTGTACTTCCATTTGACCTAAATTAAGGAGTTGAAGTTTTCTGAGGGTACAAAATTTTTCTGCTGGCAGAGAATTTATTTTTAATTGAAAGTTCTAATTTTTCATTAAAAGTCTGAACACAAAAACTCCTTTTTCCTTTCTCGCACAATTTTATTAATCCACGTAAAATCGCTTTTTAATTAAAATATATTTAATTCATTAAATTTCGTCTGTTGAGGTACATAGATTTTTAGCTTAAATTGCAGAAATGATATATATGTTTCCTTTTGATGATATTGGGCAAAAAATGACTAAAAGGAAATGTTCAGATTTTTTTCAGTAGCAATTAAAATTACATTATTTTTTGTTTTTGCTATTTCAATATTTAAGCGTGGAAATTCATCATTTAAAATTTTTAATATCATTTACATTTTAAAAGCAGCTCTATTTCTGCTTTATTTCCTGCGCTCTGAATTAAACTGAGATGTTAATCAAACGTAGTTTACCTTTCCCGAAAAGAAACTGCTTGGGTGTTTGGGCGGCGGTTTTCGCGGTCACTGAATCTCTCAGGCAGCGCCCAATCTGCATAAGTTTATGTTTACGACGGCGTGCAACTGCCTCTGTTTATTCTCGAGATAATCACGCACGACTCGCCCGCCCGGCCAAGCGGCGGCGGCGGCCGAATGAATTAATCATTTATTTCGAAAGCGTTCGCTGAAATTAACATACAAACTTTTCCTCTCCAGTCGGAATTTCCGCTCGGTCTGCCGGAAAACTTCCACTCAGCGGAGTCGATTGCCAGCAGGGTCTCGTGCACGTCGCGTTTTGTGCGAATTTTTTTCCCGTTGGACAAAAGCAAAAAAACGTGTCACATCAAGAGTGCGCCGCGGTAATTAATTGCAGCAGCGCAAGTCGAGAGCAGTTAGTTTTCTTGCGAATTCCGTGTTGCGGCTTTGTTCCCGGCCTTGTTGACACATTTCTCGAGGGCGCGCCTCTTCTTCTCTGCCCCCGACAATGCAGCGCGCGCGACTAACGATGCGAGCAATTATTCGCGCGTCAACCAGCCATGCACGACTTAAGAAAACTCCGAAGTGCCAAAGTATGGAGGGCTTTTCATTGCAAATTGCAGAAGTGCAGCGTTTAGAAAAAAATTCAAATTGCGAATGCTCAGCAAGACAGGAATTAAGTATAGAGTATTTAATAGAAAATTTGTTTGAATGCAGAAAAACGGTGCTAGCTGGTGACACAGCAGATTGGGCGTGGTTAAAGTTAACTACAAAAATATCCAAGTGAAATACAATATGAGTCATGAGTCTTTGAGATGACGAAAAAATGTAATGATATTGATACAATATTTAACTTGAAACTGGACATAATCATCTACTGAAACAAACAAAACATCAATTACATGTTTGTATTAAATAAAAACAATTATTATTTAAATGACAACAATAATATAATTATATATTTGATATTAAAGTCAGTATATAATTTATTATACGCAGTATATTTATATTATATCTGCCCCAATATTGTTAAAATTTATTGGTAACAGCGAAATTAAAAATGTTATTTTAATAGATTCAATAAGACATGCCAGGCACTTCTTCTTATTAACCGATAAGTTTTGATTTTACTTGAAAGATATAACTATAATGTAGTGAATGTTAATTGATATTATTTATTTATTTTTAAAAAGATAAACTTTGTTACAATAATATACACTTGTATTGCCTTAAATAATGCAAATGAGTCAAATAATATAAATATATAAGTTAAAATACAATAATTAACATTTAATATCATAAAATCACTGGAAAATATTATAAACTGGAAATTTTTTACTTAACTTCAATTTAAAATTAAAATATACAGCTGAGTTTAAAAATAAAACTATTTCTTTTTTGCAAATCGCTATGCCTATTCAATTCAAATTCACGTGAGCGGTTTCCCACGTGAGGCGCGAATTTATAAAAGAAAAAGGGTCTGGTGTTTAATTGTCTCTCTTTTTTTATTGTTCCGTAAATTTTCAGGCCGTAAAATCCCGAACCTGGGCGTTGTTTTAATAGGAAGGCGAGTTAGTTTAAAGTCTGGCTGGTATTTCGCGCACTCACACGCGCGCACATTAAAGCCAAATTATTACGCTTAATAAATAGAATTATAAAATTTTCATGCACGCACCATTCCTGTCTCTCTCTCTCGCTCTTTTATTGTGCGAAATTTTTACGACGGCGCCGCGCACAGGCAAATTTAATTTTTCGCGTCCTTTATACGGCGGGTTTCTCGGCAGCCAATTGCACACGCAGGGCCAAAGAGCGAATAAATTTGGCCCTTTGAAGCAGGCAGTGCAAGAAGAAGAAGGAGTCTCTTTCATAAAATAATTTGCCGCTTTTTCGCCATTCATCGGAGACGCCGGCATTTGTACAGTTTCCTTTCTAGCGGCAATTTTTTTACGTTCATTTCCTCCCAGAGGCACGTCGGTCTGGGGTCAATTTTTCCGCAAACCAATACTACGGTTTGGCTCGAGAGGAGGAAAATAATGCTTGTGGCTTCTGCATCGATCCTCTCGGGTTTTCGCCTCAAATTAAATTGTGAATTGCGCGCTCCGGATCCCGCGAGAGTTTTAGATATATTCTTATTATGTGCCTTTCCTTTGTTTTTAATTTATTTATCCAGTGGAATTGCAGTCGCACCGACAGACATGAATAATTTCCACTCTAA